GATGGACACTCCAGTCGGGCCCTGAGAAGACCCTAGAGATGGCCCGGGGCATTCAGCTCTGTGGCTGCTGACCAGGGCAGCCCGCGGGTGTCTGTGAACACGAAGTCACTTGTGACGTGAGTGCTGCTGGTGCCCGCAGGGTGGAGGACACAGCTAACCTGCCACACACCTACTCAGAAGTTACCAGATGCCCCAGCTCATACTGCCCACTCCTCCCTATCTAGTTCAGAAGAAATGATCCCCAGATGTTAGTAACAAGAAAAGAACTAGCACTGGAATTAAGAATATATACTCCAGGGCTTCCCTGGTGGCGCAGTGGTTGAGAGTCCGCCTGCCGATGCAGGGGACGCGGGTTCGTGCCCCGGTCCGGGAAGATTCCCACATGCCGCGGAGCGGCTGGGCCCGTGAGCCATGGCCGCTGAGCCTGCGCGTTCGGAGCCTGCGCGTCCGGAGCCTGCGCGTCCGGAGCCTGCGCTCCGCAATGGGAGAGGCCACAACAGTGAGAAGCCCGCGTACAGCAAAAAAAAAAAAAAGAAGAATATATACTCCCAAAAATTGGGGCGGAGGGAGGGTAACAGGTAGGGGAAGCATATGCACATCAGAAAAATAACTACCTCTGGAAGCAGAAAAAAATGTCAGACAACATTTCATCTAATCTGGACTATACGTATACCATAATTTATTAATCCAGTTTAACGACTGTTTATTGAGCACCCACTATGTGCCAGACACCTTGGAAGAAGTGGTGAGCAAAGCAGACAAGAATCCCCGCCTCGTAGGACTTACGTTCTAGTGAAGCGTGAGGAGAAGCAGACAACAGACAGTAAAGGCGTATCCGGTATATCAGCTGGTGGCAGCGCTTGTAAAGAAAAGTAAAGCCGGAAAGAGAATAGCGAGTCTGAGTGTGGCTGCCATTGTAAACAGTGGTCAGAAAAAGCCTGACCAGGCTTCCCTGGTGGCGCGGTGGTTAAAGAATCTGCCTGCCAGTGCAGGGGACGCAGGTTCGAGCCCTGGTCCGGGAAGATCTTACATGCCATGGAGCAGCTAAGCCCATGCGCCACAGCTACTGAAGCCCGCACATCTAGAGCCCGTGCTCCACAACAAGGGAAGCCACCACAATGAGAAGCCTGCGCACCACAACAAAGAGTAGCCCCTGCTCGCCGCAACTAGAGAAAGCCCGCTCACAGCAACAAAGACCCAACGCAGCCAAAATAAATTAAAAAAAAAAATTCTAGAAGAAAATATGGGCAAATTTTTTATTAAAGAAAAAGCCTGACCTGAGAAGGTGACATCCCAGCAAAGCCCTAAGGTGCTGATTAGCCTGCCAAGGACACAGATGGGGAAGGGGAGGAGGTCCGAGGTGACATTTGAAGACATTTTTAGAAATCAATGATAAACCCTTCTCATCACTTCTTTTCAGTATTATACTGTAAGTACTAGTTAATGCAACAAGACAAGAAAAGGAAATAAAAAGTATACAGATTGAGGAGGAATAAATAACATGGTTTTAGTTTGCAGATGACATAATCATCTATGGAGAAAATCCAAAAGAATTAGCCAAAAAGGAAAGGAAAGAAAAGAAAAAGAAACTTCTGGAACTAATAATCAATTATAAGGACTTCCCTGGTGGTCCAGTGGGTAAGATTCTGCGCTCCCAATGCAGGGGGCCCAGGTTCGATCCCTGGTCAGGGAACTAGATCCCGCATGCATGCTGCAACTAAGGGTCCGCATGCCGCAGCTAAGACCTGGCACAGCCAAAATAAATAAATATTTAAAAATAATAATAATCAGTTATAGCAAGGTTGCAGGATACAAGGTTAATATACAGAAGTCAATTGCTTTCCTATATACTAGCAATGAACTATTGGAATTTGAAATTTAAAACACAATACCATTTACATTAGCACCAAAATAAATAAATAAATACTTAGGTAAAAATCTAACAAAATATGTATAAGATCTATATGAGGAAAACTACAAAACTGTGATGAAAGGAATCAAAGACCTAGATCAATGGCGAGATAGTCCATGTTGATGGATAGGAAGACTCAATATTGTCACGATGTCAGTTTTTCCCAACTTGATCTATAGATTCAATGCAATCCTAATCAAAACCCCACCAATCAACTAACTGATTCTTTTCTGGAGAGGCAAAAGACCCAGAATAGCCAACATAATATTCAAGAATAAACTTGGAAGACTGATAGTATCCAACTTCAAGGCTTACTACAGAGCTACAGCAATCGAGACAGTGTGGTATGGGCAAAAGATTAGACAAAACAGATCAGTGGGGCAGAGTAGAGAGCTCAGAAATAGACCCACATAAATGCAGTCAACTGATCTTTGACAAAGAGGCAAAGGCAATACAATGGAGCAAAGACAGTCTTTTCAACAAATGGTGCTGGTACAACTGGACATCCACGTGCAAAAAATGAATCTAGACCCAGACCTTACACCCTTTACAAAAAATAACTCCAGGGCTTCCCTGGTGGCGTAGTGGTTGAGAGTCCGCCTGCCGATGCAGGGGACACGGGTTCGTGCCCCGGTCCGGGAAGATCCCACACACCGCGGAGCGGCTGGGCCCGTGAGCCATGGCCGCTGAGCCTGCGCGTCCGGAGCCTGTGCTCCGCAACGGCGGAGGCCACAGCAGTGAGAGGCCCACGTACTGCAAAAATAATAATAATAATAATAATAATAACTCAAGATCAATCATAGACCCAAATGTAAAATAGAAAACTGTAAAATTCCTAGAAGACAGCACAGGAGAAAACCTAGATGACCTTGGGTGTGCCGATGACTCTGTGGACACGACACCAAAGGCTGATCCGTGAAAGAGAGAACTGGTAAAGCAGAACTTCATTAAAATGAAACACTTCTCTGCAAAAGACAATATGTCAAAAGAATGAGAAGATAAATCACAGACGAGGAGAAAACATTTGCAAAAGACACATCTGAGAAATGACTGTTATCCAAAATATAGAAAGAACTCTTAAAACTCAACAATAAAATGAGTAACCCAACTGAAAAATGGTCAAATGACCTTAATAGACCCCTCACCAGAAGGAGAAGATATACAGATGGCAAATGAGCACATGAAAAGATGCTCCACATCCTATGTCATTGGAGAAATGCATATGATAAAAGAACGAGATACCCCTGCACACCTATAAGAATGGCCAAAATCCAGACACTGACAAGATCCCTGGTCGCCCCCCACCCCACCCCCGGCCCCCGGGTCGGGCCGGTTCTGACAGCTCCAGGGGACGGAGGTCCTTCGGGAAAGGAAGCTGGAGCCTGAAGGGTTACCCAGCTCTGATGCTGTTCAACCAAAAAGGCAACAGCTGGTCTCAGAGCCGAGCAGATGGTGAGAGCAAAGGGCTCCTCAGGCAGCCATGGGAAAGGGCCCAGGGGAGTGGAAACCCCTTTGAGAGCAAGACTAAAGCTAAACCACCGGAAGGA